CACAAATTGTCTTGGCTACTTGCAATGCGTAACAAGGCTTTCTCGGTGCTCGGTCAACAAGGTCATAATCTACAAGGTCTTGCTAGCTACTCGTTCGATGTTATCCAAGTGTCATAGCTGCTGAGTTGGAGCTCCACAAATTGTGTCTGCTACACACAAATATACTGATGAAGTTTGCTGCGGATCTCTGATACATGAGACCCAGATATATAGAACGAGACCTCAATACTCCTCAAATTGGTTACAAAATCCGGAAGGTGGCCAAAGAGCAACTAGAGAGAGGTCAAATTCTCATCCAAAAGTAGCCTGGCCAAGTGAGCAGCTACAGCTGCTTAAAGCTCCCTTACTGCCTTCCCGTAGAGTAGAAGTTGTTGGTACCATTCTCTCTTGATCTAAAAAATAAATTATAATATATTATATGTATTAAATTATGAAAATAAAAGTGTAATAATGAACCAATAACTTTACCTCTTTTGACTACACTCTAACATCAATTCCATGCCCCAAGATATATATCCCAACAATAATGTTCTATATATATATATATATATATATTTTTTTTCATATATATATTATTCATTCACTTTCATTTAGTTTAAGTATCACACTTTTTTTACTTATCTGATCAAGTACCAGTCGTAGGCTAATAAGAGATTAGATTTGTTTAGGGAGGATAGCCAAATGGTTAAGTATCGATAGACTTATAGCTAGGTATCGATAGTCGAGCATCGTGCCATCGATACAAAAACGAGATCATCATTAGAGAAGAGGAAGAGTGCGAGCGGAATTTATAGTAAAAAGGGGAAAAATAAGAGAAAATATGAAGTAAAAATATAAAAATATGAAATTAAGAGTAGTTTGAAAGAAAGAAAACTAGGGCTCAATTAAAACCTCCTACACACCCAATCAAAACTCAAAACTCATACACAAGAGAACTTGCAAATATGTTCATAATGGGAGGAAGACTTTTTAGTTGACTAATCACTTTGGCAAAGCCTATTCATCTCAATCGTCTCAGAGATCTGACGGGTAGCTGGCGAGTGTCTGGTAAGCATACGGCGGTGTCTAATCCACCAATCACTGTATCGAATTTTGAGCAGATATGCCAAGTTTATTTGAAACTGCAAGTCTCTGGGAGAGAAAGAACAGGACAGTGATGCCAATTTGTCCATTTTTCGGAAAAGTTTGTCCTGTTTTTAAGGGCTTCATACGGAAAAAATATCAAACATCCTCTATTTGGTTAAAAGCCATGCCAGAATGAGTATAACAGCGATAAATTGAATTGTGTAGGTGCTTTGTATGTACTATCGACATCGTTTGCAATTATGTTCAATGCGAAAAGAGTGATAAAATGCCCAAGTAGACTTATAGGCAAAAATTTCGGGATTGCTGGCTATAGAGCCAGATTTCAAGTCGTGGATAGCCCGATATGAAGACGCCAACAATAAAGCGTACTGCAGAATCTGCAAATTGCAAATTTATACCAACAAAATTTTTTGTCCTGTTTTCTGTCTTTTTTTCTTTTTAAATTTTCAGCTTTTTTTCAGTATTTTACGGTCAGTTTTGCCTTTTTTCCAAAAAAAAAAAAAAAAATGGACATCACTGGAGCAGGAAGACACGCAAGCGAACATATGAATAGCAGAACACGGCTATAGCTGATCCCCGCCTCAGTCCACCTCATCAGGAATGCAAATGCATCAGCTCGTCTGCCACGCCTCCTTCACATTTACGTAAGCATAGCCAAATCCCACGTGACCATTGTCCACATCCAGAAATCCTTTCGATTGCCGCCGCTTTAAATTTTTGACAGCAGCTCTTGCACTTTGGCTTAAATGGATTTGCAGCTTCACCTTGACTTAGCTTGGCTGCTTGAGCAGGCTTAAATTCTTATTGCTCACATATAGGGGGAGCTAGGTAGTGAGAGGGGGAGGGGTACTCAGGCAGTTTACAAAATCAATATGTCAAGCCCTCGCTGCGCCGCTTCGTCGACTCCTGCTGCGGTAAGGCTGGCGCAGGAATATTGAAAAAGGCGACGCTGGCAACACGACGGCGGCGGAAACTTTTTTCATTTTTAGTTTGTCAAGTTGCACACAAAGACCTTGCCGAACGGCAAACGAACCTGTCGATTCCAAGTTTGGTTTTTTTTTTTTTTTTTCAATTTTTCAATTTTTTTTGGCTTGAGCTGCAAGTCTGCTTCGCCGTCTGCCGTCTGCCCGGCGACAATTCGGCGCTTAGGCGAACAAAGGCCGCAAGTTGGGGCCAACTTCAGTTTCAGTTTGGGGCAAATGTGTGTTGGTGGAGATGGGAGGGGGGGGGGGTGGCAGCTGCTTAGGCGCTCCGCAAACTGTTGTAAATTTAAGCAGCACGCCCAACAGGTCGCATACGTAATAAATCGCAAATGCCAGGCGAACGCATCGATGCAAGCAAGGGGCGTGGCAATGCATATAGCAAATGAATACATGCATATATACATACATTTATATACATATATTTATATTTATATGCTATATAGCGCAATCTATGTGGACTATTATAAATTATGCACGCGCCAGGCCCTGGGCTAAGAGCCGTTCTGTTGTCCTTGCCATACAAAGGCAATTGTATAATTGCATTCTAATATGATGACTGCGGCACTTTCGCAAGCAGCCGCAGCCGCAAGCCTCAAGTCGGCGGCCTGATGCGCTTTCCCGGGTAAACTGCAAGGGCAGTCAGAGAGAGAGAGAGCGAGCTGGCCAGGGTCTGGCACAGTCAATGAGCCCAGCTGGCTACACTGCTGTCGAAAAGTATGTGCACGCGGCAATTGTTTTGCATAAATTGCTGGCGTTTTAATTAAATGCCAACGAAGTGAGACAAATGCTGCAGCTGCAGCTGCAGCGACTCGACGACTTTCACTCCGTCCGTCCATCTGTCCGTCCGTCCGTCCGTCTGTTTGTCGCTGCGTCTGTCTGCTGGTTTTTGGTGCAAATGCCTTTGTGTCTAGCCTGTTTCAAGCAATTATTTACGTTGCCCATGAACTTTTGATTACGCATCGCTCCACTGCCATTTGCAGGTGCAGCAACAACAACAACAACAACGACAGCTATTGCTACAGTAACTGCCACAGTCATGTCTAAATTAATGCCTGCAATTAAAATGCTTAACACTCGTTGCCCATTCGACTCAGCTCTTGGCCAGCCCGCCCACCAGCTGTCGCTTGACCAGCTGCTGTTGGCTTTACAGTTGGCCAACTGCTGTCAACAGCTTGCGGCTAGATCTAAGTAGCTCTGGCTGCCTGCCTCTGCCTCTGCCCCCGCCTCTGCCTCTGCCACTCGACCACAAAATCATCTCCTTTGCTGGCAGCCTCATAAACCCCATTCAGACGTTGCCCAACACTGGCTCTAGTTGACATTGTCTCTGCCTCCGACTCAATGCTCTATGGCCCATTTGCTGGCTTTCGGCTTATTTGGTTTATTAATTGCATTTTTTCTCTCATCAACTCGAAGTACTTCTGCTGATGTATCCAAACATTCGAGCCCTGTTCGAGGTAGGTCTAAGATAAACACGAGAAATGCTGTACAACGCATGTCACACACATGCAAATTCAAATGCGGCAATTGCGATTCGTTTGTGATGAATTTAAGAAATGCGCACGCAGTCGAGCGTTAAGCTCCGTCCAAAATTGTCGCTACCTCTATTTCCGTCTCTCTCTCTCTCTATTTTTGTCTCTCTCACTTAACTCTTTTGTGCCACAATTGTCCACTGTATATTCGATTTACATTGACCAAAAAACAGAGCCCGTCCGTTCGCTCGCTCGCTTTTCCGGCGGGCACAAAAGCATTGCCTACTTTTAGGCAGCTGCAATTTAATTACCGTTGCAAAGTTACAGATACACAGATACACAGATGTCCATGCATCCAATTGCCAACAGCCGAACAACAGTCGTCAGCCTTCACTCAGCCTTTCACTGACATACGCCCCCCATACCCCACCCCTCTCACCACGCCCCCACACCTACCCGCTCACAGCCATTGCCTAGCCAAAATGCTGCGATAGTTTTTGAAATATAGCCATAGCGCCGCTGTTTGCCACCGCATGCAGATACCCTGGAATCTAAAGCAAGCTGTGGGCGTATAAGCACAAGGGAGAAAGATGGACATGAAGGTAAATAGATTATAGATATATGGGTATTACGGTATATGCAGGAAAAGTATTGCAGACATATGGATAAGAAGATAGATAGATATAGATGTAGTACAGATTTACATAGATATATAGATGTATAGATATATATACAATAGATATAAAGATACACAAGTATAAGGATCTCTTTAGTGATATATAGATATTCAGACAGATAGATATGAAGACATAGATTTATAAGTGTAAAGATGCAAAGATATAGATAATATAATAATATAGAGAGATATGTATAGATATATAAATATAGACAAAAATATAAGGATATATAAATACATGCATAGATATAGGTATATGCATATAGAAATCAAGCTATTAAGATATATAGATATAGAGATTTACAAACATATAGATACAGAGACGAATAGAAATATAGATATCCAGATGTATAGATACACAGATATATATATAGATATCTACATACGTATATGTATATACATTTAGATATATAGTTATTTAGATGTATAGATACACATATGTATATATGGATATCTACATACGTATATGTATATACATTTAGATATATAGCAGCTCTATGCTAACGTCTATAAATGATGTATTTGTATATTTTATGTTACAGATGTGCAAATAAATCCCGCGATGTTCGCTGTTGCATCCCAAGGTCCAACGGCGTGAGCTTCTGGTCCAGGCTGGGTTTCAATTGATTTTGGTCTCTCTTTTTACGAAGATCACTTTGGGGAGTTGACTTAAGCTCTCGATTGTGTCTCAGTAATATATATAGGCATATAGACATTGCCTTATAATCTATGTAATAAACAAAGTAAAACACAACGACAATTCTTATTGTGCCGCTGCTCTGCGCTTTTATTCTGTAGACTATCGACAACCGGTTATCGATGGATCTTAAGCAACCATCGTCACTATCGATTGCTCTAACTATTGTCGCTTTGTGACTCTTCAATAACTATCGCCTCTATTGATGGCCATCCACCTCTAAATTATTTGGCATGTTAGAGTATTTAAATATTGGAATATAAAGGTAAATAATAGACGTATATATTATAACTATGTTGTATCATCTATCTTATCTATATTATATTCTCTATTTCCAGACTCCTTATTAAAATACGTAGATTATTGCTTTCTATATGCCAGGTCAGGCATTGACATTGGCATTGGCTTTGCTGGAGATCCATGTATGTATTGGCATATGATATATGATATATACATACATATGTATACAATATATTGATATATTACTCTGTTCGTACAGCTCATCTCAGTGTCGACTCTCAGCAGTTGGCCATATTTATTTTTTCCGTTATTTGCGCTGCTGCTGTTGCTGTTGCTATTGTTGTTGTCGTCATGATTATTGTGCAAATAAAAGGAAAATCGCATAAAATTTTTTTTACCGTTGCCCCGACAACACGTTGAGTGCCATGGCTTTAACAAAGGCGCCCACACACAGAGAGAGATAGGAAGAGAGAGAAAGAGAGAGAGAGAGAGAGAGAGAGAGTGCGAATCAAATGCTGCTCACTGCGTACGCCTCGCTTAACTAATTAGGGTGTGTGGAGGAAATGACGGTCGACTCTGCTGCTGCTGCTGCTGCTGCTGCATCCACAGCTACAACTGCAACTGCAACTGCAACTGATGTTGGCGGCCGCCAGCAGAGGCTGGTGCTAATTCAGTGCGGCTTGCCGGCTGGATGGGTGGCCCATTCACTCGTACGCTGCCAGCACAGATTTACCGTTTGGCATTGTGTCTGAATTATGTATAATTACATTTCAACATTATTCACGGTTTAAGGCCGCATGAGCAGCTGTGCGAATGCTGCGGGCAAATGGGATTGCGCCAAGCTCTCGTATCTCTCACCAGATTCTGCTCAGCTAACAGCTAGGCGATATACCAGCTTAACCGCATCTCCAACACACACACACACACACACTCATACACACATGCTTTCAGAATAGTTTTTGCCATTTGCATGTTCGATTAATGATTTCTTTGCATTGGCGCAATAATTATTATTTTGATCTGCCCGAGGCGGCGACAATTGGACAGCCACTCATAAAAGTAAATATTCAAAAGAGTGTACATATATGCATATAAGTGTGCATGTGTATGTGGGTGTGCGTGTGTTTACAGTTTCAATCTTGTTATGTGCGCTCGCTCTAAAGTAAATATCAATTACAACGCCGTCTCGCTCCCACGCACAGCTCTCTGTCTCTGTCTCGCTCGCATTCGTTTTAATATCAATACTCAGTCACGTATGTTCAATGAGTATATTGGTTTCATGCAATGTCCATCTAGTTGTCCGTCCGTTCGTCTATGCGTATGAAGGCAAACCATTTCAGCGCTTTTGAAGCTAAGGACTTGAAATTTTAAAGATATTCCAGTGTAAAAATATATTTTCTGGCATTTTAGAATCCACGCTAGCTAAAGTCGGCAGATGTATGCAAGCTCATCGAGAGTAATAGTAAAAAAGTTACTAAATTACAGAGTTAAGAGAAAGAGAAATCATTAGCTCTTTCTCTTATCTATCTCTCTTTCTCTCCCTCTCTCTCTAGACATTGAACTTGATATAACATATACATATATAGATCAATTGGTCGTAGGATAAGTCAGAAAATCGAATCAGCCAGCATTTGTGCCGTGGATGAGTATTCAGCAGTCGGTAACACCCGACAGCAGCGCGCCTGCTTGTTTTCTTTTATGATTTTTGTCTTTGCGTTGTTTTGTTACTGTTTATTTAATTTATTTGTATTTTTATTTGGGCGTGTTTACAGCCCACTCGCAGGACACTGGGCGATTTATGACCGGCCCGGCAAGGAGCACGGCGGGCATATCAACTCCGCCAATGCGCTTGGCTGCGCACAGCACTTAATGCAAAGCGGAATTAACCGTAATGCTGATCATCAGGAATAAATTACAGTTTCAATAAAATGCAACAACATAAATACACAAAAAATGATGAAACAAACTCAATCGAAAAGAAATAAATATAAAAAATATTTTAGTAATAAGCAATTTATAATTATTAATTAAAAATTTAAATATTAATTACTTTGCACAATGTAAAAACTCAACGAAATTATGTCACTTTTTTATACAGCGATTACAAAATGTTAATGCTATGTAAAATGTTGATGCTCTGTAGAAGAACTTCCAGAAGAAATGCCACTTGGAAAAGAAAACTTGGATTACTTTATAAGTATTGAAATACAAATTAATTTAAGTGTATTAATAGTTGTTCACCTTATACAATTCAATTATATTTTCAATGTAAAAAGAAGCACGAACGGGTATTACCGACTGCGGAGCACTTATTCGCTGCGAGATCTGTTTATGCATATAGAGTATATATAAAATATAGATAAGATCATATACTTTATGGGGTCTGCCACGCCTTCTGCTGCCTGTTACAAACCATAATAACGGCTGTTGCAGTCGGGTGTTGCCAGCTGCAGAACACCTATTCACAGTCCAAGCACTTCCAGATCCATACTCCGGCTTGCCAATTGATATGTAAATAAAAAGAGTATATATAAGTATGTATGGTAAGAGTATGTATACCTTATGGCGCATGCCACGCCTCCTGCTGCGTATTTCCCCATTTCAGTGGGCTCATGGCACAAATATACCTAAGAATAATATTACAATTTAATAAATAAAAGCAAATTAAAATTTATAAAAAAAATAAATAGAATCTTATAAATGAATAAATGAAAAAAATAAGAACAAAAAAAAAAAAAACTCTCAGTGTAGTGTAATCAAGTTCATAGTTCAATTGGCGCTGTGTAGTAGCGTATGAGAAATGTTTCATTTGTTGTTTCAATTTGCAATATTTTTTTTATGGTATGCTGTTGCCATTGCTGATGTTGTTGTTGTTGTTGTTGTGGTGGCTTCGTTATTTGTTGAATTAATTAAAATTCAATAATAAAATTGTTAAATGCAAAGCTGAATTAATGCAGAGCGCGCGCGCCTCGCTGAGAAATGTTTAATAGCATAAATAAATAAAGAGGAGCACAACTGCTGCACAATTTCAGCTTGTTTATATGTAAATATAATTAATAAACACACACACACACATATGCACACACACACATATGCACACACACACACACAAATGATGCAAAAAATTTATGAAATTGGTTATTTTATTTAAGTCTTCTGGTTCAGGTTGATTAAGCCTCAATTGAGAGTATCAATTTCGATATTTCATGTGCAATATAAATTCTAGAAAAATAAAAATTAAAAAAAAATTAAAAAATTAAAAAAACCTAAAAAAAAAAATAAAATAAAAATAATAAAAAAATAAAAAAAAAAAATAAAAAAAAAAAGTTAAAAAATTTTGAAAAATCTCTACAAAAAATGATGAAATATCTGATATGATAAATCTGAAAAATTGTGGGCGTGTTAAAAGATTGCACATGGCCAAATTAAGGATGATGTACGCCGCACAGCTCGTATTGAATGAGCTGAGCGAACATCTCAGCGACCTGAACGAACTCGTCCAGCTGCTGCTGATAGACAGTCCAGTTGTTGACGCGGTCCTGATCGTAATCGGGATCCTCCGGGTCCATGACCGGGGGCACTGGAAACTGTGCCATGGCGGCGGCCATCAGCTGCAGAGTGGCCTGGAGGGCGTGCCAGAGGCGGACGAGCTCCTCGAAGTGCATCTCGGTCATTAGCATTAGGCGATGCATAGTGGGGTAGTCGTTGCAGATGGCTCCCATGTCTATCATGGGAAATGCTAACGGCGTGCACTGTTCCTGCGGCACACCATTAGAAGTCAGCATGAGGCGAGGCATCGCCTGGGCCATTGTCTCAAAGAAGGTCTCGTTGAGGAAATTCGCAGGAGCAGTGAAGCCATTGCGCTCGCCAATGATATTGATCAGATGCGGCACAACACCATAGATGCTCAGAGCCGTCAAATAAGGATTAGAACCTGCAGCAGCGGCCTGCTGCTCCTGCCCCTGAACCTGGCCCTGCAGCTGCACCTGCCCCTGCAGCTGCTGCTCAGCGGCTGGCTGGGCCACGCTGGGCTCTACGTCGTTCATCTCCACTTCGCCAGAGTCAGTGGTGAGGAAGCTCGAGTCGGTCAAGCTTGTCTCCATGTCCTCGCTCTCGGGCTCCAAGGCGATGGCAATGCTGCAGCGGCGAGGCCCCTTGATTATTGTGCATTCAGATTTTCGTAAAATTCGCACGCTTACCTTTGATCGACGTTGCCAGACTGCTGGACAACGCCCTCAGTGATAACTACCGGAGGCTGCTCCTGCTGCTGCTGCTGCTGCTCAGCGCATTCATCGTTGCTAATTGGCAAATGAATTGCATTTAGATGCAATCAGGCTCACTCAGAGGCGACTGCCGGCACTCACCCGAAGATATTTCCTTGATCAGCCATGGTTTTTCGATTCTAATTGCGAATAACGAATGCTAATGAAGTTGGTTAGTCGATGGTTATAATATTTTTGGTTTTGCAAGAGCAAATCCGAAGGAAATTAGAAAGCAACTGTAAAGCACGTGCGCCAAAGTCGAAGACAAACTCCAAAGTGAAGTCGAATCTAGCTCCGTGCTTATGCTCGCCTGCGTTTGACAGCACTGGTAATTAAAGTACGGTGTACCTATCGATAATGCATGGGCAGTGTTGAGCAATTTTACAATGTATCGTATTGGAAACTACTTGAATTCATAGAAATTTCATAAATTCTGAGAACATAGGCCATAGGCTAGGCTTATATCGAGCCATAGGGAGCTAGAGCGGAAGAGAGCGTGCAAGAGAGAGAGCGATATAAGGACTAATTTAGTGGAGCCTGTGGCGCCATCAATGGACGAATGGCCTAGACAACCCTCAGTGTTGTGAATCACGTTATGAATGGTGTAGTATTGTTATTAACACTATGCTTGAAAAATTAACCAACACTTTGACTCCGAAATGACTTGCATATACTCAAATGCCACGTAAGCACCTTCTTCTTCTTCTCCTTCTCCGTCTTCTTCTTCCACTTCCTTTTTTTGGGAACTCATGGATGCCTCTAAAAGCTTAATGCTCATTGTAAAATTCTGATTGAATCATCGACTTGTAACATATATTAAGATATTTTATTGGGTTAATCAATATTGTCTTATTATACCCTGAACCCATTGAAAATGGGAAATCAGGGTATAATGGTTTTGTGAAAAAGTATGTAACGGGCAGAAGGAGGCGTGGCAGACCCCACAAAGTATATATATTCTTGATCAGCGCGACAAGCTGAGTCGATATAGCCCTGTCCGTCTGTCCGTCCGTCCGTCCGTCCGTCCGTCCGTCCGTCCGTCCGTCCGTCCGTCCGTATGAGTGCGTCGATCTCAGAAGTTACAAAAGCTAGAGAGCTGAAATTTGGCATGCATACTCGTGTATACCATACGCAGTACGAGTTTGCTTTATTTTTTCGATAAATCGTCCGATAACTTTTTTATCGAGAATAATCGAAAAATTGATTTTGTTTTTTTAACCTAATTTAAACACTTTTAGACCTGGAGTCTTCAAATTTGCGTTGTATATAAAGTTAATCGATACAAAGATTTTGTAATTTACAGATTTTGGATACCACGCCCCCTTTTCCCCCAATTTGTAAAAAACGCATTTCAAGTACTAGAGACTTGTGCTTTGGAATTTACACACATATTCACCATATGATTACACTCTAAAAGTTTCATTAAGATCGTATGTCTACAAAAGAAATTATTCAACAAATAAATTCTCATAATATTGCCCACACTGCAGCGCTGCCCAAGCGCAGTCGCTGCTTACTGCGCAGTTAGCAGAGCGCAGGCTTATGCATGCGTGTGGATGCATGTGTATGTATGTGTGCATAAAATAAGTCCAGAATGATTAGAATATCAGCTTGGAGGGTTCAGGGTATCTCCTAGTCGAGCAGTCTCGACTGGAGCCTTCTTACTTGTTTATTGATAGATTCATGGCATATTCAGAGTTAGATAAGATCAATATAAAGAAAAAACGGACAAGAAAGTTGATGTTGCCTAATCATTTTAAGCAGACAAACTTGGTGGGCTGTACCACACCGCCTCTCTAGCTTTTAAGGCTTACGGCATAGGACAGAAAAATAGATAGGTGAAGTTTAAGGAGTGTCCGGAGGAGGGACAGACAGATGGGCATGACTAGATCGTCTCAGCTGCTCAGCCCGATCAAGAATACAAGTGCATCTGTATGTACTCTCTGTGGTCTGCCACGCCTCCTTCCGCCTGTTATATTCACTCGCAAATCAAGAGTGCTCTACAATTCCCGCCAGCTCTGTGTCTTCTCCTCGATCTGTCTCTCTAAGCCAACTAATGAAATTGGTAAGCAGAGCTTATAGCTGTAGTTTTTTTTAGCACCGTTACTGTTGGGCGCTCTACTGCCCGCAGTCCAGGCCTGTAAGTCTCGTCTCGTCTTTTTTTTTTGCTGTCACTTTGGCGGATATCATACATGATATAATGTAAATTGGTGCGGCGCACAACATTTCCCATGTGGAAAATTGAAATGTGTGTTGTCTTAACCAACACTGGCTGCTACCAACACCGCCCGCGCACACCATGCAGATTATTGACTAGTGCGGGTAAACAAAATGCTAATGATATCAAGTGTGGGCGCCACTGGAAAATGGAAAATTGGAAAATCGTATTGTGGAAAATAAGCGCTTTAAAGAGCTTATTTCAATAGAATTTCACAAGCGAATTGTTCAAATTGCAATTAAAAATGCAATATGCATAAATGTTTAATGATAGCCCAGCAACAACAACACGAACATCTGCAACAACAATAACAAACAATAAATACGAAATTTAATTAAATTTTAAAATGCGTTTGTGCCACTTCTTGGCCATTGGCTCGCCTCGTAGAGGCCCTAGTCCAGGCTCTAGTCAAAATTGACATAATGACCAAATAATTTTCCAGTTCGCTGCATCTTAATGGCCCTGCGATGCGAGGGGCTATGCAGGGTGGGGGGAGGGAGGACGTGTCCAGTGACAGCCGGAGAAATTTCAATTTCGCATTCGTTTGACAGGCGACGCCAGTGCGGCACATTAAATGCGAATGTTCATTATCAATTTGCAAATTTATTATGAATGTGGACATTAATTTGACGCTCAAATCTATGCAACATGCCCGGGGACACGCGTCACGTGACCGGCCAGCGGCGCCAGGCAGCGACTGTTTGGGCCAATTAATCAAGCGAATGCTGCAACGAGCGAACCGGCGAGCGACAAGTCACAAAGGTAATTTGGCACTTAAAAAGGGTAAACGAGCCTCGAGCCTCGAGCCGAGCCACAGCCCAAGCCAACCCAGGCCAAACCAGGCCAACGCGTACCTTCTTCAAGGCACTTTAAGGGCCGCCAAATGTGACGAGTCTTTGTCCACGTTTGTCCCATCGGACCGAGTCCATTTATCATCTGATTGACTAGATAATTGACTACGGCCAGGCACCAAACTTGTCCCACATCGCCCTAATAGCACCATCATCATTCATGGCCGCCGTGTGACGGTGCTTGTAAAGCCAGCCCAAAGGCAAGTCATGAATATTATTTACAAAAGATTGAAAGAACCCAATGCAACAATCTCAGCTCAGAAATCTAGGTCTATAATCTATGTTGATGTCTTATAAAATTATTGAAATTAATTAACAGCTCAAAGATCTATTTATTCAATGATTTTTAGATATCATTTCCAGTACAGGTCCTCAACTCTAAATGGAAATCCTGCAGAGCAGCCGCTTTCTGTGGGAATGCAACGATCTGAGAATCAAAGTCTTATATCGATTTGTAATATTAATTTTTAGATCTCAAATTGATTTATAATATATAATTCATCGATAATTCCCAGTGCAGGTCTTCAACTTTATAGGGGAATCCTTCCTGTGGCAGTGCAACAATCTGAGAATAGAAATCTTGGTCTTAAATCAATTTGTAATATTCTTTTTTAGATCTCAAACCCATTTATATAATTAATCGATATAATCGATATAATATAGTTAATCGATAATTTCCAGTACAGATCTTCAACTTCATAGGGGAATCCTGCTCAGCAGCCGCTTCCTGTGAATAGAAATCAAAATCTGAAATGAATTTTTAATATTAATTTTTAGCTCTCAAATCCATTTATAATATATTCATCAATAATTTCCAGTGCAGGTCCTCAACTTCGTAGGGGAATCCTGCTCAGCAGCCACTTCCTGTGGCAATGCAACAATCTGGGAATAAAAATCAAAGTCTTAAATTCAATTGTTTTAGCTCTCAGATCTATTTATTGTATTATAATTTCCAGCTCAAGTCCTCAACTGCATAGGAGAATCCTATTGAGCAGCCGCCTCCTGCCGCTGTTGGGGCAACAGTCGCAGCTGCAGGAGTAGTACATTTTGTATTGGGAGTGTGGTGCTTTGTTTGCGCATCCATAAATTGGCTGGCATTCACATGGCAGGAACACAGGGACGCAGAGACGCAGGGACGGACGGAGGTCAGAAGTCGAAAATATGGCAGGACACGAGCATTAGACAAAGCACGGACACTAGTATATAAAAATATTATTGATTGGCATGCTGCAGGCGGGCTGGAGGGGGCGCGCTAGGCAAATGGAGACGCCTATTAGTAAGCGGCGGGTGTGTGTGTGTGTGTGTGTGTGTGTGGCGCTGGACAAACGCATGCTATAAAGCCATAAACGCCAAGCCATAAATTATGCTAGCCACACGCAGGGCCAACGCAGAGGTACAACACACACACACACACACACACTCAGGCAGGAAGACAGCAGGAGGCGGGAGATTGGGGGCAACAGGACGCGGGGCCTAGCTTGTGTGACATGTGTGAAAATGCACTTTGCTGTCACTTGACTCTTTGGCCATTTGGTCCGCTGACAGTCGCTGACGGGCACTGCCTGGGCGTGCCACCAACTGTGGAATCCAAATCCATCCTCCACTCCACCTCGGGCTGCCCTTTGCAATGAAATTTATTTATTTTCGCGCTTGTCCTCCTCGCACAGGACTGGTCGGGGCTGGACTGAGCTGGGCTTAAATTATGTAGATGGCAGCGCGAGTGCATGGCGATGAGCCCGACAAAAGATTACTGAATTGCCAGCCAGCCAGACAGACGGACAGCCACACAGACAGACAGACAGACTGAGAGCCAGAGTCAGTTGGCAGCTGGAAAAATGGAAATCGGAAAAATGTTATGCTTTACGTTTAATCTAAAGTGCAAACACATAAATACAAGTCTGTTTGCAGCAAGAGCTCTTCCCACATGCGGCAGGCGCTTAACGAACTCATTTCGAATGCTTTATGGCCTCCACGCTGCACTGCATTAGCAGCGCTAGGCGTGTTTCTATGTCCACTATCTACCCCATATAGATATACGTGCTTGATCAGTGGCAACTGTTCATATAGCCACAGCTGCGGTCACCAAAACAGCAGCGACTGAGCACCAAGTGTTGGGTAACAACATCTATTGATAAACTTGGCATAAACATCTAAATGAACACGTTATACATTGATATTCGTTTCAAATTGAGTTTATGCCCAAGTCTATTTTGTAACTCTTTCTCTCTACTATTTTTATGACCGCAGCTGTATGCATTAGGAATATCTATAAAGTAGTTTCATAGCAAATCTTCAGCTCTT